TGCTGTTCCAACAGATTGAAACTTTATGAACGTAAATTACGTTCCGAAGAATGATTTGACCCCAGTTGACGCTGTAACCATCGCCATATTAAAATCGATCTGAACATTTCTACAGAAACCCACGCATAAAAGTAAAGAAGATTAAAATTTCAGCCTTATACCTCATGGAGTAGATCCGGATACACCGTAAAAGGTCACGAGCTCAATGGAAAATCGATAAGAACTTTTTGCGACGAGAAAGTATCGGGTGAGAAGAGTAACGAAAAAAAAACAGACAGGGCGAGAGAACGGTAACGAAAATAATAACAGACTATCCAAACGCGAGCGTTCGTTCTGTCACGCTCCAAAAAGCAAGCGTCAATTACGACATTTAATTGGGTGCAACAGGTGGCCGGTGACCGAGGCGGCTACGTTCATGCCTGCTCCTTTTTCGAAATAATAAGTTTCCTGGGAACCAGTCGGACGCGTGTTCCCAAAACGGAAGTGGCTGGTTCCACTCGGCCGCAGAAGCGCGACTCAACGTCTCGCAGACAGGTTTTCCTGTACTCGCGTCATGTGCAGGGGCAATGTTAAGACCGACTCAAAACGTACTAACGGAATAAAACTTACAAATTGTCGATTTTATTATTGGTAATATCGTTAGGAATATTTGTTTATAGGGACGTTTTGGGGATTTTCAAGGGTGGGTGGTTTGATATGTTTGCTGGGGGGATTTTGAAATATGGCGATTTTTGGAGACTAAGGATTTTGGAATCTAAGGTGAATTTGGTGATTTGGGAATTTAGGAACTTTAGAATCTAGGGATTTTGGAATTTATGGATTTGTGAATCTAGGGATTTCGTGATCTAGGGATTTGGGAATTTAGGACTTTAGGAATTTAGGAATTTGGAAATTTGGGAATTTACGAAATCTGGAATCTTGGGATTTTGGAATCTAAGGTGAATTTGGTGATTTGGAAATTTTTCGATTTGGGAATTTAGCAATTTTGGAATCTAGGAATTTTGGAATTCATGGATTTGTGAATCTAGGGATTTCGTGATCTAGGGATTTGGGAATTTAGGACTTTACGAATTTGGAAATTTGGGAATTTAGGAATTCTGGAATCTTGGGATTTTGGAATCTAGGGATTTTTGTTCTAGAGATTTGGGAATCTAAAAATTTGGTTAACCAGGAATTTGGAAATTTTTAGATTTGGGTATTTAGGAATTTGAGAATCCAGAAATTTGGGAATTTAGAGATTTGGGAATCTAGTGATTTGGGAATCTAGGGTTCTTTGAACCTAGGAATTTGGGAATCTAGAAATTGGGGTATCTAGGGATTTGGAAATTTTTAAATTTGGGAATTTAGGAATTTGAGAATATAGAAATTAGGGAATCTGTGGATTTGGAAATTTAGAGATTTGAGAATCTAGGGATTTGGGAATTTAGGGATCTTTGAACCTAGGGATTTGGGAATCTAGAAATTCGGATATCCAGGGATTTGGAAATTTGTAGATTTGGAAATTTAAGAATTTGAGAATCCAGAAATTTGGGAATTCAGGGATTTGGGAATCTAGAGATTTGGGAATCTAGGGATCTTTGCACCTAGGGATTTGGGAATCTAGAAATTTGGGTATCTAGGGATTTGGAAATTTGTAGATTTGGGAATTTGAGAATCCAGAAATTTGGAAATTTAGGGATTTGGGAATCTAAGGATTTGGGAATCTAGGAACTTTTGAATCTAAGTATTCTTGAATCTATGGATTCTTGATATGTGGGTGGTCTGATATGTTTGCCAGCGTACAGTTCTAGCTCAGAGTTCAATACCTGAATTATTTATAAGATCCAAGAGAAATGCCAAACCATTCGATACAAAGGGGTGATACAACTAGCGAAAGTTAAAATGTTAATCACACTTTTCCTTCACATCCTTCAATCATCAGCCATCAGCCATCAGATCAGATAACAAAGACTCATATCATACCCAAAATTAATTTACGAACCAATTCCTTCCAACCTTAATGCACGAGTGACCAGGGGTTAAAAATCGGTCAATCACTAATTATATACAAGAGATTGCGTCCGCTAAGGATTCGGTCATCCGCGAGTGACTCACTTGTTCCGATTTCTTCGCGATGATTTTACCAAGCGATAACGTCCCTGGAACGGTAAGCCGTGACGTAACGTTGGCGCCGGCAATCCTCAACGCAGAAAGAAAGAGTTACGTGAGTGCATCGCGACACCCTCAAATTCGAACTTGAACCTGTATATGTAGTCATCTAAATGAACCTCTAAATAAACCATAAGGAACCTTAACCCCTTGCACTATGATTTATTTGTCAGGTGTGTTAGTCAGAGCTGACTAATTACAGCTACAATATTAAAATGGACAAACAAATTAAAAATGTTATGTCAATATGTTATTATGCAATCGTTGACTATGCAAATTACAATTGAACTCCAAATTGAAGTGTATTAAAAATTCGAGTAAAATTGATCATGGCCGAAGTCCGAGTGCGTCACGAGACAGACTCGTCAAAATAATGCGAGGGGTTAAGGAACCTTGAGAAACCTCAAAGGACCTTAAAGGATTATCTACGTTGTAACAGTAACTGGTGCTGTATACATTGATTTGCTAAGACAGGTTACCTAAGTACCAGTAGGTAAATTTACCTGCAACAGGACTGTTGTTGAAAAGAGAAAATGATTTCTTTTCTTTCTTTTCTTTTTTCAATGACAGACAGGTATAGCTGGCTACCTGCTACTAATATGGTTTAGTCCAGAGTCTACATTGTAGACAGTCTCTTAACCCTCAACTTATAATTTCCTCAGCGAGTGCGTCAGACAGGGTGACTTGATCATTATTGTAACATTAAGCCAAACAAGGTATGTCCACATGTGAGGGACATGGAGGTCATAGGTAGACGACTAGGATTTGCAATTGAACACAAATTAGATTCATAGTGAAAATGTCAGTCAGATTCGTCGCATTTCAACAATTACGTCACATAGCGAAGATATTATAAGGCAGGGGGTTATTTTAGGTTTGGGGTTAAGGAAGGTTAGCTCATCCACATTCAGCCTCCAGCCATTTTCCCCGAGTTTCATCAAACAGAATTAATTCCAAAGGTGTTTCGCGTAACCGAGAAACGCACCGCAACCAGTATTTTATCTGTCTCGCCAGGGTGGAGTTTCGGCAGAGAATTGAATCGCCACGAAAGAAAAAATTATAGAGATTCCGGTGGAAGTTGATCGGCAACCGATCATTAGAATCGGCTAGCGATCGAAAACACGAGAGCGTTTCTCCACTTGGAGCGTTCATTAAAACGATTACGACAAAAAACGAAATATATCGAGGAAGATTATCGTGAACAAGAGCGGCGCTAATGGCGACCTTGTACGGAGAGATTTAAAAGAAAGAGAGTAATAGTGCGATAACGCATGGGAGGCTATCTAAGCGCCGTTCAATTGGACGGACGCTACTGCGGTATTCGTTAATTAAAACTGTATCGAGGCTTGAGGAATGAGTTACCTTATGCTGTGGGAGGTTTTTAATTAGGGAGGGAAAGGGGATGGTGGTGAGGGAAGGGGGTGGTTCGATAGGGGTGGGATTCTGGGTGACATTTAGAAATTAGGGATTTGGGAGATTTGATAGGTTGGGACTTTTGGGATTAGCGAAATTGGGGAATTAGGGAATTAAGGGGTCGGGGAATTAGGGAATTAGGGGGTTAGGACATTAAAGAGTTAGGGAATTAGGGAGTTGGGGAATAAGAGGATTAAGGAATTAGGGAATTAGCAAAATTGGAGAGTTAAGGAATTAAAGAATTAGGGAATTAGGGAGTTAGGGAATTAGGGAACTAGGGAGTTAGGGAATTAGGAAATTAGAGAGTTAGGGAATTAGAGAGTTAGGGAATTAGCAAGTTAAGGAATTAGGGAGTTAGGGAATTAGCAAGTTAGGGAATTGGGAGTTATGGAATTAAAGAATTAAGGGATTAGGGAGTTGGGGAATTAGAAGGTTAAGGAATTACGGAATTAGCAAAATTGGAGAGTTAAGGAATTAAAGAATTAGGGAGTTAGGGAATTAGGGAACTAGGGAGTTAGGGAATTAGGGAGTTAGGGAATTAGCAAGGTAGGGAATTAGGGAGTTAGGGAATTAGGGAGTGAGGGAATTAGAGGGTTGGGAATTAGGGAGTGAGGGAATTAGAGGGTTGGGGAATTAGGGAATGAGCAAAATTTGGGAGTTAAGGAATTAGAGAATTAGGGAGTTGAGGAATTAGGGAACTAAGGAGTTAGAGAACTAGGGAATTAGGGAACTAAGGAGTTAGGAAATTAAGGAATTAGTAAATCTTGGAATTTGGGAATTTGAGAGTTTGGGATTTGGAGACTTGGAGACTTCAGGACTTTCGAATTAGCAGAGTTATAGAATTTCTACATTTTAACATTTTGAGACTTGGGAATTTAGTGTTTTTGGGATTACTAGAACTATAGAACTATATGAACATTTTGGAACTTTGAAGGTGTGGAACTTTGAAATTAACAAATTTTGAGATAATGGAACTTTGGGTCTTTGAAACATTGGGACCTTTGGATTTAGTGTTCTTCGTCCTTTGATACATTGGGACTTTGATACTTTCACACATTTGAACTTTCAGACTTTGAAATATTTAGACCTTCAGACTTTGCAACATTGGAACAAGACATCAGAACTAAGCTTGAAATTTCGCAAACCCAGACCTGTGGACATCGAAACATTTTCCACAAGAGTCCTTGCACCAACATTCAAACCTACTTTTGTTGCTCAAGTGCCTTCATTTCAGCTACACAAACCAAACGTTTCAGATCCTCAAATCTATCCTCTCATAAAATCACATCTTCAAGATAAGACCTTCCATTTTTTGCCAGAACAAAACTCGAAACAGCAAAACTTGAATTAACTCTATCAAAGTCCTAAACCTCTCTCTCAAAAAAAAGTTTCCCAAATCCTCGAAATCCTAAAAATCTCGAAACGTGTCCGAAACTCACCCAGCACGGAGAGGCTGAGTCCCGATCCCGGCCTGGGTGATCTGTGCCTGTCTGGAGGCGCCATGTCGTTGTTTTCTAACGGATGTAACGGCGCTTAATCCACTGGATGCAACTCTCTCATCTTCTATTCACACACAAACCACGCTGCTCACGATTCTCGGAACTGACAGTTAACTATAATTCGCGGAGGTCGATCTCGTCTGATCGTAGGTGCACGAGGCTGGCTCCCGGGGCACTGTCATTGTGTTCCGAATAAAACGTAGCGCGATAACGTCAAACGGAGATCGTTAAAACGGAGAACAAACGTTACTCGCTCGATGGTCGAGCACCGACTGCCAGACGGGCACTCGAGCACTCCACCGGGTCCGACTCGCGTGATGCCTGATTGGCTGATCGACTGGCTTGACTGGATAGACGCTGGTTAACCGACGACGACCACTCCGTACTCTTCATGGTCGTTCTTCCTCGCTGGTTTGCTTGCCCCGACTCGCCCCGGCGCATGCGCACATCGCTCTCTCGAGTCTTCTGCTTCCAGAACCCAACCGGCCACTTGTACGCCCTCGTAGCATCTCTTGCTCTCTTTTTTCGGGAGGGGAATTTTAATTATTCCCGAAGAGATATAGGTCGAGTCGGGATACTTGCATTAGCCTGTCTGCTATGCAGCTAGTTTTCGTTGCATAGGGAATTATTCTTGCGGACCTTATTGCTCTGATTTGCTCGTTTCTGGTTTGTGTGATTTTTGTGCTAATTTTGAGAATCTGAGTATTTGGGGATTTGGAGCTCAAGAATCTGGGGATTTGAGGATTTAGTGTTTTAGAATTTGGGGATTTGGGGATTTGGAATTCAAGAATGTGGGGATTTGAGGATTTAGAGTTTCAGAATTTGTGGATTTGGGGATTTGGAGTTCAAGAATGTGGAGATTTGAGGATTTGGAGTTTCAGAATTTGTGGATTTGGGGATTTTAAGTTTCAGAATTTGTGGATTTTGGGATTTGGAGTTCCAGAATATGTGGATTTGAGGATTTGGAGTTTTAGAATTTGTGGATTTGGGAATTTGGAGTTCAAGAATATGTGGATTTGAAGATTTGGAGTTTTAGAATTTTTTAATTTAGGGATTTGGAGTTCAAGAATGTGTGGATTTGAGGATTTGGAGTTTCAGAATTTGTGGATTTGAGGATTTGGAATTCAAGAATGTATGGATTTGAGGATTTGAAGTTTCAGAATTTGTGGATTTGGAAATTCTTAGTTTCAGAATTTGTGTATTTGGGATTAGGAGTTTCAGAATTTGTGGATTTGGGACTTGAAGAGTTTGTGCTCGAAATTCAAGTACTTGTAATAAGTAAATATATGAAATAGCATAAGTAAGTATAATGGGTCTTGTAATTGAAGAATTTGTGGATTTGGAAATTTGGAAATTTGAGTATATAGGTTTGTTAGTTTTCGAGGTTTGGTAACTAGAATGTTAGTGAGGATGTTAGGAGGACGTCTGAAAAATGAAGTCTCATAGTCATTACAAAATTTATAAATTTGCAAAAAGGACATTTATAAATTTAAAGAACTGTACATCTCCAAAATGAAGTCTCATAGTCATCACAAAATTTATAAATTTGCAAAAAGGACATTTATAAATTTAAAGAACTGTACATCTCAAAAATGAAGTCTCATAGTTATCACAAAATTTATAAATTTAAGAAACGTACATTTGCAAAGTTATAGAACCGAACACCTCCAAAATGAAGGACCTATTACAAAGTTAATAAATCTGACATGCATTGATAAATTATAAACTTGAGGATTTAGTAATCTAGTAACACAAGAACTCAAATGTTGCGAATATTATAAAGACAGTATGTTTAATCTTGTAAAATTATCCCCGGCCAGCCCTGACCGCCATTTGCAGGTCCGCTATCCCATTTGCCCATCGCAGCGACCTAACCTAACACGATCTTTCGCAAACAACCGAGCCCGAAAAGCGGATTAACAGACAAGATCGAAGGCTTGGCTCTCGACAAAGCCAACATCGTCCAGTCTTTCAGTGTCCTGCTTCTTGATGCGTGCCGTGCAAGGACTTCCACGGACATGCACGTGTATCTAATACGTGTTCACGCCTCGCGGATAAACGAGAGGCCAACTTCTCGGCATTGGACACTTGAACAACAGTAGCATTCCCCTGGAGCAACCTATTACCGCTCGATACTAGTCACCGGCAACTTTGTTTTATTAAATAACTCAACTGCATTGCGCAAACAACCACGCTTACAATTTCTGCGCCGCACTCGATGCTCAATGAAATGCGAACGCAACATTCGATCCGTAAGATATGGTCGTTTAACGTTTCTTTGTTTATCCACCTTTTACTGTGAAGTCAATAAAATTACAATGCAGTGGTATGCTCTGCGATTAATGTCTCTTTGTTGCTATGACTTATGCCGGTATGAATGGTCCTTAATTAATGTCTTCATTTTTCGAGGAGTTTTATAATGTGCACTGTAAATTATAGCAGGAGGATTAGTCATAAGAGTCAAGTTAAAGTTGATGGTTAAAATTAAATTCTTAAAGAACTGAGGATAACTGTCAGTAATGAAGGTCAAAGTAAAAAGTCCTTCATGCAAAATTTGCAGTTTGGATCTGTCGCGATGAAGACACAAACTAGACACTGAATCTGCGGACCAATAAAAATAGCAGAGACCAGAAATTGAGGACAGAAAGAATACTTCCTGGGACAGCAGACTTGAAGGTCAGAGTAAAAAGTATGTACAAAATTTGGACGTTTACCACGGAAGACATAAATTCTGCAGAGCAGTAAAAATAGAACCCAGGAATAAATCGTGAGGACCAAAACACAAAAATACTCAACCCAAAATCCATTATCTCCACAAGACGTCACTCTCTGAGCCCATCAGTCCACTTTACCCGCGCTCGTCACGTCCTCCGCTATCGGTCCGCAAACATTGTGAACACTCGACTCTAAGAAAAACGATGACTCCCGATCATGTAACCGCGAGTACGCTTGTTCGCCCACCACAAAGGTGCTAACCGCGCGATTATTCAAAGGAAGTAGCGTTGAAAGGACGCGTACTCGCCGAATGACGTTGCTCTCCCTACGCGTCCGACTAGCGTACGCCTACGGAAGCCACGCGTAACCCGATCGCTAGACGAAACCACCGTGATCTTTGATCCATCGTGGATCGGTTGAAATCGTGGTGAAAATAGAGGACGAGCGCATAAATTTAGAGAGGAACTGTTTCATACGGCAGGTGTAGCGATTCAGTGTTTAGACCAGCTAGCACCGCTTTCTACTTTCACGCGATTCGATACTGTGCATATGGTAATATTCTGACATCGAGAGAATCGGATATGTCTTTATAGGGACGTGGGAGTCTAGGATTTTTGGGGATGTGGACATAAGAACGTCCTTAAGTTTGTAGACCCACATATGTGGATCCACAAGTTCTTATGTTTTCAAATAGGTAGAAATCTTCAGAACCTCAAGTTGCAAAGTCTTCAAATATCGACATCCTAGACTTCTTACGTCTCCAGGTTCCTAGTCCCCCAAATGACGAAATCCAGAAATTATCACGTCCCCAAATCCCTAGCTTGCCATATCCCTATAACCCCAAATCGTAAAATTTCCAAATACATCATCGAATCCCTAATTTCCCAAATTCGTAGTCTCCCAATTCTTAGTCCTCCAAATCCCTAATCTCCCAAATTCCCAAATCTACAAATTCCCATACCCCCAAATCCCTAGCTTGCCATATCCCTATAACCCCAAATTGCAAAGTTTCCAAATACCTACATAACCAAATCCCTAATTTCCCAAATTCGTAGCCTCCCAATTCCTAGTCCCAAATCCCTACTTCCCCAAATTCCCAAATCTACAAATTCCCATATCCCCAAATCCCTAGCTTCCCATATCCCTATAACCCCAAATCGCAAAGTTTCCTAATACATAACCGAATCCCTAATTTCCCAAATTCTCATTGCTCCAAATCCCCAAACCTAGAAATTGCCATATCCCTAACCCTCTAAAACATCACCGAGTGTCTCAAAAATCCCCAAAGATTACCGAGTGGGTTATGTTTCCTCCATCATGTTCTCAGACTGTAGGTGCGTATTGCACAGTCCAGCAACGTAGTGTACCAGTTGAAGACGCTTGAGAACAGAGAGGAGTAGAAAAAGGCGCGGAAGGTGTTCCAGGAAAACTAGTCAGCCTTCTATCCTTGCTCTAGCTGTCGATCACGATCCCTGTCGATCCTTTCTCGAGCCGCTTCTCAGCCAACTATGCCCCTCTCCAGGTTGACCCGATCTCGAACGAACAGGTTAAGGTAGCTCCTCTGCTGCGAGCAACCTACCTCCTCGGCCTACCAGCCGTATTATTACGCGCCGGTTTACAAGCTGCCGTGTACACGTAACAGGTTCCAGTAGCACGCAACGGAGAAAGGATAGTTTGCACGGAAAAACCGGAAAAAAACACGCCGGATGTGACGATGGATTTGATGATCGTACGCAACATGTTGCCGAGACTTGTAGCATAGAGGATGGTTGTTTAGAGCGTTTGTAAGTTCGCGGTGGATGATGGGAAATTTTATTGGTTTGGATAGGATGACTCTTTTTGTATTTTGGAGGGGTTAGATTTTAGGGAAGGTTAGGTACGATGGTTAGTTAGTAGGAGTATGTAGAGGAAGCCTAAGGTGGAGTTCAGAACTTAATTTAGAAGTTAAGGTTCAAGGATGTGGATTTAGGTGGACTGTAGAGTCCATGTCCAGGTGGAATTTAAGTTCAGATGGATTCTAGTTCTAGATGGATTATAGGTCTAGAGAAATTATAGGTCCAGATGGATCTTTAGTTTACATAGATCCTAGGTACAAGTAGCTTTTAAGTCCAGATAGGTCCTAGGTCCACATACAACCTAAATCCAGATAGATGCTAGGTCCAAGTAGCTTCTAGGTTCAGATAGATCCTAGCTCCACATGTAGCCCAGGTCCAGATAGCTACTAGGTTCAAATAGCTACTAGGTCCAGATATATCCTAGCTCCACATAGTCTCTAGGTCCATATAGATCCTAGCTCCACATATAGCCCAGGTCCAGACAGCTACTAGATTTAAATAGCTACTAGGTCCAGATATATCCTAGCTCCACATAGTCTCTAGGTCCATATAGATCCTAGCTCCACATATAGCCCAGGTCCAGATAGCTACTAGGTTCAAATAGCTTCTAGGTCCAGATATGTCCTAGCTCCAAATAGTCTCTAAGTTCAGACAGATCCTAGCTCCACATATAGAGCTTCGGTCCAAATAGCTTCCAGGTCCAGATAGGTCCTATCTCCACATATAGAGCCCAGGTCCAGATAGGTCCTAGATCTAAATAGCTTCTAGGTGCACATTGATGCTGTCTCCACATAGA